TAAGTCAATTTCCTCTTTCTGAAAGTTGGTTCTCCAATATCACACTCTTCGTCACTTAGATTTATTGGTATTTCATTAGCATTTGGTAACGGTTCAACTAGATCTTCTTGCGGGACATCGCTCACCGGTATATTGGCCGTGCCATCTTCCTCGAGTATTGGTCCTACTCCAATACTTTCAACACTAGCTGCACTACTCGGACAAGACATTTGTACAAATAACAAATGACATTAAACACAATGAATTTTATCCAAATTAAATACAAATGTATTAGAAAACTAAAAAAATTATCTATGCTTTTAAAAGGGTAAGAAAGAGACAAAACATTGTGCTGATAAGAGATATCTGTAAAGAATTTATATACATCTTTAATGATTTTTTAAGTTGTCTACAAAAAGTAAGACAAAGACTATTCTTAGATAATAAATAATAATAGATAGAAACAGAACAATGCTTGTTGCCTGCCATACTAATTCGCAAACTTGCCTGCCAAAAACTAAACACGAAGACCAACATGTTATAAGTCTAACAGATTAAGACCTTTGGTGTGTAATTTTCAGTTGTTTATATCCAGTAGAAATGTAGAATGATTAAAAGAATTGAATAAATCACAGGTATGCAAGTAACTGGTGGGGTCACGTTGTCCCAAGACTATTCATGATCGGAATACCGTTTCTTATATTGTCTGTCTTGCGTTTTTAATGTTCTAAATAAAAACTCAACAGAATAAAATTTTGCCAGATAAAAATGCGACGTTCCTCGCAAACTTCAACCGCAAGAATAGAACAGGTGAATATTACCTGTTTACGCCAGAGACGCTGGAACGAGACGGTGAAAATTAAAGATAACGCTCAGGGAAACAAGGTTGCGCCGCTGCGGGAGGAACTGGAATTGTGCTTTGCGTGGTTGAGGAATGAGGTATTGAGGTGTCAGGTGAGGGATTACGGTAAGGTTAATAGAAAATTAGAAATGGAACTTTTTACTTGAATTTGGGCCTGATTCCTGAATTTTGAAGATGGTAGAAGCCTGCAGCCAGCCCAGTTGGCAGTTGGAAATATGGTGGTGGAATTGGAAACTGGAAAGATGGATAGTTGGAAATTGGAATATGGAATTTTTATTTATTTATTTTTTTTCACAGGCCAGGTTCGGGGCTGGGCATGCCCCGCCCCGCCCTGCCCCGCCCCGCCCCGACGGTGC